ACATAGATGACAAGAAGAAATTAGTGTAAATATATTACATAGTCATTAATAAAGTTCCTACAATAGGCCACATCAATCCAAGTTAAAACAGCAGCCAGTTCAAGTTAACAAGTGTAATAACAACAATGAAACAACTAAGTCCTAAACTAAATCCTAAACTGTAGGTCCCTTCTATGTGTTTGGGTCTTGTGCTGCCGGTATCAACCATCTCAACAACTTGTATTTATCATGCATAAACCCTAAATAAGCTGGCCTAGCCTACCTTAACTGCATAAGCATCTTGGCATATGCATAATATAATTGACTGCCATCATTAAGCTCATCAAGACTAGCCAAATGTGCTAAAACTTTGTTAACTACTTGGGGATCTACAACCAATGCTATTGCTCGCTGCTCAGAAGTAGCTGCTATAACACTAAGGCTATCAGAAATTTTAGTGGAGGAAGCAACTTTTTTCTTCTTCTTTGCATTAGATGTCTCACCCCTCTTTCTCTTTCCATAGCTTCCTGAACCACTTGGTCCAGTACTCACAGGGTTGTTTAAGTTGCAACTAGCGAAGTCATCTATGACCCCTGTACTGGCTATTGGGTCAACACTAAAATTTTCATCCTCATTGTCCCCCGACCCTTCCTGTTGGTCCAGCTTGACTCTATAAACATCCTTCTCCTCTTCTGTGTCAGCTTGTGGAGCAAATGCTGGCTGAGGCTATGATACTAATGGTATGTACATATAGTCTCCCAAAGCCACAACACCTTTGAATGTTTTCATTAGATCTGATGCAAACATCAACCCCTGATGTCTAAATTTCTTGAAATTGGGGTCTACCTACATAGACATAATTAGGCATAATTAAGCGATATCTAAACTGATATTCAAAATTAAAACTCAACTAGTGCAAATAATTACTAGTAATTTTCATTGCCATCACTCGTCGGAGGCCAGCACCCTATTTGTGGTTGCGTCATAACCAATTCTAGTCTCTCCAGACATCAGTTTTTCCTACAACTTCCAATCTTTTCTCAAAATGTCAAATCTATTCTTTAGTTGCTTCCTATCATAATTTTTGCCACTCTTTTCCTAAAAATTCTTTTCAATTTTCCCCCAACTAGGCCTTGTAAATGATGTTCCTTGTTGTTCTTTTTGCAGTAGTTGCTTGGCACAAACATTGATTAGTATTTTAGGTGTGTAAGGATCCCATATCACTTTTCTTTTATCATTATCCATTTCTCTATGCCCTTTGATTAAGATAAGACTAATTGAATCAAGCAAAGCCCTAAAAATGTAATAATAAAAGCTATATTATGTAACACATATGTTACAGCCAAACAAAAATATATATTATTTTATCACCAAAAAATATATATTAGTTTCCTAATATTATTGTACATGTTTTTGTTATCAAAATTCCAAATATTATTATCATGTAATAAAATATCAATTAAAACATTTTGATTACTTAAGTCTTTTTGGTTTTCTTATTCACATTTTTTTGAAATTATAAATATATATTATCACAATGTTTTAGCACACTTGTAGGCTTAGCAAACAAATTGTTTTCTCTCCCAAATAAGCCTGACATTTTGTTTAGTAACAAGAATCTCACAAAAAAAGTGAACTAAGCTCAAGATTAAAAGCCATTGCACAAGAAGGAAATAAACAACTTAACAAAAGGCATAATTAACTCATCAAAACCAATAATTAACATTCTTTTAACATTTAGATCCTTTAGAAAATGGGATTGAATATTCTTTTCTTTATTAAGCTGCCAAATTGTTGTCTCCTTCCCCCCTCTCTCTCTTTACATGCTCGTCAGCTTGCTTCTTCAATTTACTCACGCGAAATGTTGTTTACTTACCACTTTATTGCAATTCTTTTTAAACTATTTTATCATAATATAATACCTCTTCTCGATTAAGTACTAACTAGCAACCAATCTTTTCCATTATCTCCAAGAGTCGGGACAAGGAACAGGTATATGTATTGGACCATCTAATGTCATAAAATCATACACATATAACAGAATAATGACAATGAAATTGTATATTTGATCCACTTAATTTTATCCCCATCCACCTCTTCTCCTTGTTTCTCTCTATATTAAATTTGTGAATGAGGCAAGCATGGACCAATCCACCTCTTCTCCCTCTTCTCCCTCTTCTCCCTATTTTTCTCTATTCAGTCCCCTCTAATACATCATCAAGGGAATAAGTTCCAGAAATCAAATTAAGCCTATGACTTCTTGTTCAAAGAGAAGCTACTATGCAACAATTTTGCCATATGATTTTTGTTAGATAAATCCTCATCCTCATTAATTATTGTTCACATATAAGTCACAGGACATTGCAAACTAACAAGAATTTTATTCCTCCAGTTATAACTTTCAGCTTCCCTGTGGAAAACAAGCTGCCTATTTTCAATCGACCTAGAAATTAGTTTCATTTTTCAGCCTTCCACCGGCAAGCATAGACAATAGCACATTCAGGCAACCACAGGGGATCAAACTGAAAAGCAGGACAGCAAAATAAACTGACCAACTTGTAATAGATCCAACCACCCAAAGGCTGCTAGAGGTAGATCTGATAGTGTATTGCACTGAGAAGCTCAAATATCTATGCACAGCTCACATACACCGACAGATGGTGTGAAGTCGGTTGTAGACGGCGACACCAGCTTGGACAAGGTGACTGCAACTCGGACAAGGCGACTGCAACTCAGACTTTTGATGAAGGAGTAGCCTCCAGCACGCTATGAATGCCACACACCCAACACGAGACCTCACGCCGGTGACGTGACGCAGCTCATAGCGACCAGAAATGGAGCTCCTAGGAGGAGGCGACGAAGAAGTAGGAATGGTAGAGGACTCATGGCTTGTGGGTGACTGCTTTGGATAAAAAGAAAACAAGTGAAGTCATAGGAATAATAATGCCATAAGGGAGAGAAAGCGGGAATAAAAATTTCTAACACGCTCAGAACGATAATAAGCTCTCCAGGGTTGAAAAATAAGCTCCCTCCTCTGGCTTATTTTAAACACACAGTTGGGCAGCTTAAATTTCCATAAGCCCAATACAAGGTAAGCCCTCCCAAACAATACCTTCATTTTGAATCGGACTTATCTTCATTTTAAGCCATGTTTGGGCCAGCAAACGTTGACCCAAATAGGCACAGATCCGATTTGTTTCATATAATCTCTCTCATATTTATTAATTTTTTTAAATAGTTTTTATACTATTTGTACATGTTAAATATTTCATCAAATGGTAATTCTAACAAATACACATAATTAGCAATGATATTTTAGGAAAGACAACATCTATTTATTATAAATAACTAACTTAATAAATTTTTTTAATCTACTCAAATTAATCAACTAGTTTTTATATTAAAAATGAGACGCAATATGATTCAAGTTGCAAACAACATTTTCAAAAAATATTACCTATTTCGAAACTCCAACAGGCGCCTAAAAGAAGTGGGTTTAAGCTAGTTTTGAGAGTTTTACAAGAATGTGATGATCAAAAACATCAACCCACTTGAGTAATTGTGATCAGGCGAGGAATTGTTTTTGTTTTCTTGGGATGTTTACATAGAGGAAAGTTATTCATATTTTGTGAAATTTTGTTTTCCTCAACAAATTCATTTCTATTCTCTCAACTTTTTCTTTTTCAGATTTCAAAACTTTCATAATGTTGTGAAAATGAATATAATACTCAGGAAGATTTAAGTTGTTGTATCATATGAGAAAGTTATAACGGATTAACATAGCAATTATTTAAATTATTATTGTTGGGCCCATATGTAATCTACTATATTATGTTATCTAGATTCCAAAGTCTATTTTTTAAGGGAACATTTGAGAAAAGGACCTACAAAAAATAATATTTATTGAAAAGATAAAAAAAATTGTAATTAAAATGTAAATTTAAAAATACAAAATTTTTCCTAACCGCACCTCCTATATTTCCTCCCACATTCCCTGTTGCATTATGGTTTTAAAATTAATGCAAATATCTAAATTTTACTAAATTAAACAGAATTTCTCTTAAATTTTACAGCATGCCTCAATATTTATTGTAACAAATATAATGTCAAAATAAAAATAGGAGAAAATTGCATTAAAGTCTCACCCAAGAGAAATAAATATAAAAGAATTCTTTGAAATTATCAAATTAATTTGAAGTCCTAACTGATCTCATTCCACTTATTCAATTACTAAACTTCCCTCATATTCTTGTTCAAGTATGCATTGAAAATTAAAAAGATTGAGAAAATATGTTGTTAATATTTATTACAATAATTATTAATTGTTACATCTTAAGGATATATTTGGATCAGCGGTGGCAAAGTAACTTTTATTTCATCTAACTTTTGCAAATGTAAGTTAGGATAAAAATCAGTTAATATAATATGATTTATGTTTGGATTGATTTTTATAAAAGTTAATTTGAAAAATTTTAACTTGTTTGAATGAGTAATGGAAAAAGACATGAGTTTAAGTGTAAAATGATTGAAAAGGACAAAATTTTTATAATATATATGATTTGATAAATTTAACAAAAATAATGAACGAAAATGAACATTATAAAAATATAAAGAGTCAATATGTTATTAAAAAATTTGTAATTATAAAAAACCATTTAATAAGATGCTTCGAATAAATAAATATAAAGATACAAATATATGTATATATATTTTATATTTTAAAATGATAACATTTAATAATATTTAATTATAAGCTCACGTTAAAAAAATGGGAAAATTACTGTAGAGTCCCACAAAAGACAATTTACTACCAGAAGGTCCCATGAAATCCCCAAATTCCTCATAAGTCCCCAGGGACCTCTGGGTAAATAATTTGAGTTGTGATATTACGTACTTGCCCTCAGTCATTGATAAAGGAAAGAAAAGAGGGAGAGACGCTGATTGGCTTCATTTAGTGCGGTTGTTTGTTATGCATGCACAAGGAAGAGAAGCTTCTGAAAGAAAGAAGGGAGTTATGCGCTGGTACTCCATCGCAGGCAAGCGACATTATTTCTTCATCTTCTTGGTACGTCTCATCATTAACAACATTTCTCTTCTTCTGTACACAACCAGTGTCAAGTTTAATGTTGGTCTGAAAAGTTGATTGTGTTGATATGTGGGTATTAAAGATGTGATTCAACTCACTAGAAATATTAAGGGAGTCTCATTTTAGTCATATGTGGTTTTAATCATGTTAGGTGTGGTTTTACTATGTGTGGCTAGGGTTAGAAAGCAATGCTCTGTTTTTCGGTGAATGAGGCTCTGTTTTTCGGTCACTGATGCTGTGTTGCTGATGAAGATGAGTGGAAAATAACAGATATTTATTATTGTAACCCCTCAAATGCGATGGTTAAATGTGTTGTTAATGGGTACATCGAAGGTTGTTAACATAACTGTATGACTTGTTATTAACAACCAGTCGCAGCTTTAATGCTGGTCTGAAAAGTTGATTGGGTGTTTATACGTTGGTATTAAGCATGTGATTCAGCTCTCTAGAAATATCAAGGGAGGCTCATTTTAGTCATATGTGGTTTTAATCATGTTAGGTGTGGTTTTACTATGTGTGGCTATGGTTAGAAAGCAATGCTCTGTTTTTCGGTGAATGATGCTCTGTTTTTCGGGCAATGATGCTGTGTTGCTGATGGAAATGAGTGGAAAATGACAGATATTTATTATTGTAACCCCTCAAATGCGATGGTTAAATGTGTTGTTAATGGGTACATCGAAGGTTGTTAACATAACTGTATGACTTGTTATTAACAAGTGATTGTGGCAGGTTGATATCCAGGATGGCAACTTCCAGTGCAAAGCAATTGTTTTGCTACCTCCATATAGGAGGACAATTTATTAATGGTGTAGAAGGTGAAACGCAGTATGTTGGAGGTGGTGTGAGAACAAGAATGATAAAGGAAGGGACATCATATGGAGAATTTAGAACAATGGTGGCATCAATTGTGGGAAAAGAAAGTAATGGAATGGTTATGAAATTCACAGTAACCTTTGATGAGTGTACATTTGTGGACCTTGTAGATGATGAAGGAGTAGAACATTTGATTAACTTCAATGGCGACAGTGGTCATGTATATATAGGAGAAAATGGAGATCAAAATTCACAACTAACAAGGGATGTTGTAATAGAAGAGCAACATGTGTAAGTTGTTATTTAAATTTCGAAGTAATATTAGCTATTGTCAACTGTTGTGCATAAGTTGTTATTATAGTGATCGAAGGTTGTCATTAACGACCCCTTGACCTGTTCTGTTATGTAGGATGGAAGACTTGTTCGGAGGTTCAGATACATTGTCCATGTCTCCACCTAATGTGGTTAGTGAAGACCCACTATTGTTGCCATGTGGTTCAGAAATGATGCCAACCCCAATTCCGGAAATGAATTCAACAAAGTGGAAGGGTTTGGTTATCGGAGAAGGACAGATTTTTCCTAATGCAGTGGCTCTTAGGCAAGCACTGTATAGGTACAGTATTGCTGTGAAGTTTTCATACAAGTTTGTGAAGAACAATCAACAAAAGATCATTGTGAAGTGTATGGCGGAGGGATGCCCGTGGTATATGGGTGCATACTCAATGGGACAAAGACAAGATTCTGAGTTGTTAATAATTAGAACCTTAAGAAGTGAGCATGTGCATTATGCACAGGACAGCTTGGTTGTATCTCACTCTAGAGGGTCAAACTTAACATCATCAATCATGATAGATTCTTTGAGGTGTAATATAGACAAGAATGCTAATGAACTTAGAAGAGATCTGTATAGAGAATATGGGGTGCGACTGAATTATAGTCAAGCATACAGGGGTAGAGAAAGAGCATTGAGGGAAATACATGGTCGTGCACAGGATTCATACATGGCGATTCCCTGGATTTGTGAAAGGCTCATTGAAACTGATCCAAACACAAGTGCTCGATGGGAAGGGTTGGATAGTAACAGATTTCAGAGGGTGTTCATTGCTTATGGATGCTCAATTAATGGATTTTTAGAAGGGTGTCGACATATACTTTATATAGACGGCTGTCATCTAAGTGGTCCTTACAGGGGGACATTGATTTCAGCTAATGCATATGATGCAGACAATGAACTATTTCCATTAGCATATGCTATAGTTAGTGGGGAGACATATGATGATTGGGCTTGGTTTCTCCAGAACATCAAAGACATCACAAGATCAGTGGAGACAACGATAGTTTCAGATCGGAATAATGCCATTATAGGTGCTGTGCGAACAATATTTGGTGGCGAGAGACATGCTTTTTGTTATAGGCATGTGAAAGAAAATTTTAGTGCACATTATTTAAAAATTAACCGAGGCAGGGGACGAGTTTCAGGTACTTCAAAGGACGTTGCATTGAAAATGCTGGATGGAATCGCCTATGCAAGGATTGAGGATGAATATGTTGCTGCAATGGGGAAACTTAGATCATTCTGTCCACAATTGGCTGATTGGGTTGACACTCAAGGAGATGTAGATCGGTGGGCTTTAAGCAAATTCCCGTTTAAGCGATGGGATAACATCACTACTAATGTTGCGGAGTCGTTTAATGCCTGGATTTTGAAGGAGAGGAAGCACAATGTGTCAGTTCTCATACATGAGCATATGGAGAAATTAGCCAAGAAGATGGTTGCAAGCAAAATGGCAATGGAAAATTGGACAAATGGCGTTGGGCCAAATATTGAGTCCAAGTTGCAAGAAAAAGTAGCAAGAGCGGAGAATATGCATACTGTATATTATGGAGATAACCGAGTTCAAGTTGATACTACATCTCCTACTGGAATAATTTGTGTCACTGTTGATCTCACAGCTCAGAAATGCACTTGTTTAGCATGGCAAATGAGCGGAGTACCTTGTGCTCATGCCTGTGCAGCGATAAAGCTACTTCATGGTAGTGTTTATGAATTTGTAGATGATTGCTATAAGCTGTCAGCCCAAGAGAAGATATATGCAAGTAGTATGAGGCCAATTGCGACACATGATTGTCCTCGTCCCGAAGCTCTCACCGTTACGCAGATGATGACGGGAACATTTTTACAGCCACCAATCACTAAAAGACCCTCAGGGAGGCCAAAGAAAAGAAGGATTGAATCTCAATTTCAAAGTAAAAAACTTTACCACTGTGGAAGATGCCATGAGCCAGGCCACACTGTGAAGACTTGCCAGAACCCCAATCCAAGTTGAGCTTTGCTGGTGGCTTGTTGATATTTCGTTTTGTGAATGCTTGTGACAGCATTTTTTTTGTAAATGTCATAACCTACACCTCAAGTTGTCCGTCATTATCCACACATGCAACACGTATGCTTTTTTGAATAGGTTGTAAATTTGGTGTAGTTATGTTGTACATATATATATCAAGTGGTAAATGACACCTGGTTGTAATCTGATATAACATCATTTCTGTATTTTTGATGTACTGGTGAATAGGTTGTAATGGACTTGTTATCAGACGCCATGCAGGTTGTCATTAGCAGTCTCAATTATGTTACTGATATAAAGTGACAATTTCTCCTACTTCCAGTGTTCAGTGATTTGTTAAGACATTCGAGCTGTGTTAAAGTCATAATATGATATGATTTGGTTAGAATTAGATCTCATGTGGAGGTTGTGGTATCCCCAGCGTCAGTTGTCAGGGGCAATGCGAAGGTTGTTAACCAATTCTGTTCGGGTTGTCAACAATCCCTGTTGAGGTTGTAATGAATTGCTGGAATAAAAATCTGCTGTAATATGATTTGGTTCTTTTTAAGCTGTTAATGACTTTAAAATGCTCCCAATTTTTGCTATTAAGGTCGTTATATGTGCTCATAATATAATTAAGTTAACAGCTGTGTTATACCCCGACTGAGTTGTTAACCAATTCTGTTCGGGTTGTCAACAATCCCTTTTCAGGTTGTGAACAACCCCTGTTGAGGTTGTAAACAGATGTGGCAGAGAGGACTGATATATGCCTATGATGTCACCGTGGGTACCATTTGTTTATCCAGTCTTATTCAGTCTGCATTTTGTGGCCATGATGAAAACACATGAATGCCTTTACAAAAACTTGATAACCAGTAAAGGATATCAAAACACATTAACATATCTTAACATCCAGGATTCATACATGCTCAAAGAAAAGAATAAAATGTAAACTTGACGTTCAGATGTCACTATGCTGTCAAATAAATAAATGTAAATACAATATATGCTTGTCATTTATTTCTTCCTCTTGCTTTGGGGGTTTCCTCGCAGCAAAGACAGCACTTCATCGCCATGCAGGTTGTTCGGATGAGTCACGAGCCACCACAAGCATCCAACCTTCAAGTCATGGATTTCTTCAGGGGAGTACTTAGGCATTGTGTAGCCGTCATCACCATACTCAGTGCCGTCCCATGTTTGTAACCAGCTCAACACATGCACCCCACAAGAGTCCCTACAAAGGAAAAACAAGTACTTTAGTGAATGAACATTAGCTCCCAAAAGTTGAGACACAAGTACTTGTTGTGCTGAAAAATAACTCACGTGTCAGATTGCACATGAACTTTTGCCCATGTGACTTCCTCGTCAATCTTGTCCTCCTCCGCAAACAGTGATGGCTTCAGCACACGAAGCACTTGGCAGAAACAATCTCTCTGCAAAAAAGGGACAAACAGAAGAAACAAGTTTGACAGTTGTGAATGACAAGTTATCAGGAAGCATTAACAACCTTCGCTGTAGCCAATGACAAGTAATCAGCAGGCATTAACAACCAGGACAGTTAAGCAGACAAGCAACCATAACGCATTAACAAGTTATAGAATGAATGTAAAGTTGTGCATACAATCCCTCTCGCCATGAATTGCTTAGGATCTATCTGTCCTCTCTTCTTCCCTTGCTTCCTTTGTGGTTTCTTCCCTGTTTTCATTGCTTCTTCTTCCTCTCTTTGTAATCTCAACATCGTCAAATTGTCCACCAACGAGTCAAGGGCATAGAAACGCATGGTTCTTACATCCATCACGTAACAGAACCAATGGTAATTGAAAAGGGTGGGGCCAAATATGAAGTCACAGTCTCCAATGTTATATCCTATGTGCTCCGGTAAGATTTCATGTTCATGTTTTTCCATGCTCCACCTAAGAGGATTAGCGGCCATTGTTTGCATTAACTCGGGTGTAAAAATGTGCCTACTGACACGACTGTGGTTCTCTTTTTCATCTCCCACCAAGGTTCTCGCCACCATAGACATGAACTATATCACACATACAAACAGTTAGTCATGATCATAATGACATTCGCAGTTCTCTATCTATATAAACAACTGTCTTACCCTGTCGTTCATCCATTTCCTGTCTTGTAGGCAGCAAAGCTCAGCACGTGTCAAGAAGTACCCATACATCTCTACAATGTACCTGCAGCAAAAGGAACAATGAGCACAAGGGTTGTATGTGTAAAATTGTTGTCAATCAGTTGTCCCAATTACAATCAGTCCCAACACTTACTTGGCACCTTCATCTTGATCACATCTTCTCGTGCACATCTGGAATAATTCCTCTTTCTCGTCAGCTTTTCTCTTGCCACGGCCTTTTTTCACCTCCTCTAACCAGGGAGATTTGATTGCACGGCTTCTCACCCGTGTTGATCTTCTTACATCCATTTGCCCTTGTGCTTGCTGGTCCATTTCATCCTTTTCCTCCATTTCATCGCCTACACCCTTATCCTCTTCTGCTGCTGCATCACTAGACTTGTCTTGTGTTTTTCTTCTCCATCATCCTCTGATCCAGAGTGACTCCCTTCTCCTTTCTCCTCAGGTTGAGATTGACTCTCTTCTTCACGCGAAGCACTTTTGCCCTCTTCTTTATCATCTCCTTCTGGTTCACTCTGTTGTTCCTCTTGTGACAGAATTGAATCTTTTGGGCTTCCTTTACCTTCTTCACCGGTTTCTTCATCTTCAGTTGCCTTCTCTTTGTCATCTTCGCTACTTACTGCTTCCACCACATCTTCCTTGTCAATCTCATCCGTCAACCTCAACTGCAGGGAAACCAACTCTTCTCCAATTGTCGACACCAACCCTTCAACCATGGTCATCAACCTTTCATACGTTCTCTTGATTTCCTGCAAAACAACAGTAATGAAAGTTATCATTACTCCAAATTCTACACAGCACCAAAATAAGCTTCACATGATTTACTTACAGGGTGGGTTAGCTTTATTCCTGTGTTGGATGCACTTGTTGAAGCCCCACCGACACTCGGAACGCCATGCAGTATGCCTCTGTCGCTATTCTTTTCTGATTTCACTCTTGCCTTCACTTTTTCCTCATCCCAATAAGTAATGGCATTTTCATTTTTTGCCGCCTTTTCTTTTCCGAGAGGAAAGTGTTGTAGGCAATAAATCTGCATGTGAAGTTAATGATAACTTAGATATACAACAACATCATCCAAACAGGCCACTGACAACATAAACAGCGGAAAATCACAACCTACACACTGCCCAATAACAACATACACAGTGACCAATCACAACCTACACACTGCAATAACAACTTACACAGTGACCAATCACAACCTACACACTGCCCAATAACAACATACACAGTGACCAATCACAACCTACACATAAGCCTGTCACAACATACATTTGCGTCATTCACAACATGTACAGCATCCAGTGACAACCCATACTCAACATAATGACAACACGAACAGACTGCAATTACAACCTATACATAACCAGGTGACAAACCAACACAGCCCAATGACAACCTGCACACAGGTCAATAACAACCTCCACACCATCCACTCACAACATATACATAACCAGTTCACAGCGTACATTTCCCAACTGACGACATAGAGTAGTAAATAACAACATACACAGTGACCAATCACAACCTACACATAACCCTGTCACAACATACATTTGCGCCATTCACAACATGTACAGCATCCAGTGACAACCCATACTCAACAGAATGACAACACGAACAACTGCAATTACAACCTATACATAACCAGGTGACAAACCAACACATCCAATGACAACCTGCACACAGGTCAATAACAACCTCCACACCATCCACTCACAACATATACATAACCAGTTCACAGCGTACATTTCCCCAACTGACGGCATAGAGTAGTAAATAACAACATACACAGTGACCAATCACAACCTACACATAACCCTGTCACAACATACATTTGCGCCATTCACAACATGTACAGCATCCAGTGACAACCCATACTCAACAGAATGACAACACGAACAGACTGCAATTACAACCTATACATAACCAGGTGACAAACCAACACATCCCAATGACAACCTGCACACAAGTCAATAACAACCTCCACACCATCCACTCACAACATATACATAACCAGTTCACAGCGTACATTTCCCCAACTGACGGCATAGAGTAGTAAATAACAACATACACAGTGACCAATCACAACCTACACATAACCCTGTCACAACATACATTTGCGCTATTCACAACATGTACAGCATCCAGTGACAACCCATACTCAACAGAATGACAACACGAACAGACTGCAATTACAACCTATACATAACCAGGTGACAAACCAACACATCCTAATGACAACCTGCACACAGGATAATAACAACCTCTACACCAGCCAGTCACAACATATCCATAACCAGTTCACAGCGTACATTTCCCCAACTGACGGCATAGAGTAGTAAATAACAACATACACAGTGACCAATCACAACCTACACATAACCCTGTCACAACATACATTTGCGCCATTCACAACATGTACAGCATCCAGTGACAACCCATACTCAACAGAATGACAACACGAACAGACTGCAATTACAACCTATACATAACCAGGTGACAAACCAACACAGCCCAATGACAACCTGAACACAGGAAAATAACAACCTCTACACCAGCCTGTCACAACATATCCATAACCAGTTCACAGCGTACATTTCTCCAACTGACGGCATAGAGTAGTAAATAACAACATACACAGTGACCAATCACAACCTACACATAACCCTGTCACAACATACATTTGCGCCATTCACAACATGTACAGCATCCAGTGACAACCCATACTCAACGGAATGACAACACGAACAGCCTGCAATTACAACCTATACATAACCAGGTGACAAACCAACACATCCTAATGACAACCTGAACACAGGAAAATAACAACCTCCACACCATACAGTCACAACCTACATTTGTGTCATTCACAACATGCACAGCAGCCATTGACAACCCACGATAAACCGAATGACAACACGAACAGAAGGCAATTACAACCTATACATAACCAGGTGACAAACCAACACAATCCATTAACAACCTGCACACAGTACTATAACAACCTTGACACCAGCAAATCACAACCTATACATAAGCAGTTGACAGCGTAGTAAATAACAACCTACACAGCACATTGACAACAGAGTAGTAAATAACAACATACAGAGCAACCAATCACAACCTACACAGCACATTGACAATAAACTAACATCAAAGTAAATGAATCATACCCACACTTACCATTAGG